TTTTTTTGTTGCAGTTTGGCCAGGGTTGGGTTTGATCCCACCACCCTCAGTATATGGGGCTGGCGCCTTACTCACTGAGCCACAAGTGCCGCTTTGGACTTAAAAACTTAATTGTCACATATTGTTAAGTAGTCAGTATACTTTTATCACTTTTGTAAATAAAGCAGTAAACTTCCAAATAGATGATTAATATGATCCAATTATAAATGTAACTAATTGACCATATTATCAATACATTTAAGAAGCAACACAGTTTGGCACTATACTGGAACAAAAGATGGTTCTGAGATTTCAAATTTGGTAAGGTAATATTACTAACAATAATAATTGAGCAAAGAGTGATAAGATTACTTTGAGAGATAAAAACTTTTTAAAAAGTGTAACAAACATATACAAGATTGCTAATGCTGCTATAAAATATAAAATTTTAATTACTGAGTTATAATAATTTAAGATTTCTATTTTTAATACAGATGCTGTTTCTGCAGCATTTCTCTTCTCTAATCTTTGTAATGCTCCTCCTCTATGCGGGATTCAGTTTTGATGCTGATAGGGTTCTGAGTTCATGTTAGTAATAAATACAAAGGGGCAGATAAGAGGAAAAAGGATAACTATGGGTATAATAATTAAATTTTTTAAAAAAATTTATTGTTGAGGATTCACTGAGGGTACAAGAAACCAGGTTTCACTGATTGCATTTGTTAGGTAAATTCCCTCTTACAATCGTGTCTTGCATAATAATCAAATTTTAAACATGAAAGCAGACTCACAGTACATTGTATATGTGAATGTATTGTATCAGGTAACCCCCTATAAGCTCAATGATCTATTCAAACTTTCTACCTGATTCACAGCTCTCTGGTTCATGGCGCTCTGGTTCACTCTGGCTTTGGACAGTCAAAATCTCTGTGGAGTAGCAGTTTATCAATCTATCCTCAATGTCAATTCCATGGTTGGTAGTAAGATCTGATAAAGAAGAGAAGAAACTCTAGTATCAGCCAAAGTACCATTAAATTAATTTTTTCTAACCTTGTTCGTGGCTTGTTCCTTCTAAAGTATCTTGCTTTATTGTAGGCCAATTTTCCATTTAGAGAAAAGTAGAGATTTAGATTTCTAAAGAAAATGCTGAGTCAGGTGAATACTCCCCCATGCACACCCTCTTTTACTCCTCAATCATCAATCAAAATTACTAAAGGAAAATAAAAATGGGAAAAATGTACATAATCATTAGAAGCTATGCTAGGGTGGGAAATCCAAAAGTCACAACTTCAAAGAGTGAGATCTATGCCCCATTTAGCTGGAAGTCTACTTGTTTGTATTAATACTACCATTTTGGTACATGTTCTCCTAGCTGTCTGACACATTTTGCCTGTCTGTTTACTT